GGGCTGTACTGGGCTCCGCCCCTGCTTGGAGCGCAGTTTAGGAGAAAAAAAGTTAATTTTGTAAACAAGAATTCACTTCTAGTAAACTTTTCAAGTTTGAAGTTTTACCTTGTTTTCAATGTTTTGCAAGTCAAGCAATCAACAACAAAGCTGAGGTAAGACACGTCATAAACTCAAACTGTTGATTTCTTATTTTTTATGTAATAATATGAACAAAACAACTCTAAAATTTAATATTGAGATGAACCCAAAATGTTATTATATGAACATTAAGCGTGAAACCCAACTTGTGTTATACTCAAATTACTATATTTTTACACATGCATTATTAATAAGGAAGTTTGTTTGATCGAGACGTTTAAAGATGAAGGTCATATTAGAGATGTGAGATTACATGGGTTGTGACAAGAGACTGAGCGCCATTCTGAAACTTGGAACAGAGCCAAAGATATTTAGCTCATGTTTGTCTCCCTTTAAATTAAAATTCTCTACTTCTAATATTTATTTTCAAGTACATATTCATATAATAAAATATTTTGCACGTAAAATTAAAACTTCTCCTTACTTTTTAGTCATATATTCTTCAAAAAATCACTATTCAAAACATCAATTTCTTTTTTTTAATTTTCAATAATGACCATCAAACAATGGCTTAGTCTCTCCAAAAAATGATAGTTTTATATGACTATCACTCAATGACATTGATCTTAAAGTTCAGAGGTTGCGATGTATGTGTGAACAATAGACACCATATTCTCAGTATTCCGAAAGACTAGCAAGCTTAATTCAAAAGCCACTAAAAAACTGTAGTCATTAATAATTTACAAGTAACATAGACAGATAAGCATCTCCCTCTCAGATGGACAAAGGAGATAGAAGCCAATCTAACAAATAAAAATTAGGAGGACAGACCAAAAGCGAAAAGGAAAGGAAGCTAGAAGTTTACATTTTCAAGTAAATCATGAATTATATGAAAGAACAAAACGGTAGGTAGCTGACTATATTACAACCTCAAATGAATCACAGCCTTGGCACTTGATGTACAATGCAGTTAGTTCAAATATAGTCTCAACAGAAAACGCAGGCTTTAACCTGCATCCCCTATCAAGATGCTCTGCATGAGCTTCAGCCAGCCTCGTCCTTAGCAAATTCAAACTAATCTAAGAGCAAAGAAATAATAATAATGAAAAAAAAGGTAAGCCTTACATCTCAATCAGCATCAGCAAGAATAGTATTTATGTTCTTTTGTTAAATATGTCCTCTCTTATTCTGTATGGCCGTGGAAGATATGAAGAAGGAATAATATAAATATGAAAATCTTCTAATCGATAATTAGGTCAAAGAAAGAAAGTAAATTTCATTAATTGATTTTTCTCTGTCAAGGTGATTACTGTCATCTAGCAAAAAAAAAAAAAAAAATCTAGTTCTAAACATTTGAGAAAAAGATGGGAGAAGCAGAAGATTTGAAACAATGTAGACTTAATTGGCATCAGAAAAGAACTTCTCAGGTGCCATTCGAACATAAAAAAGTGAATATTTGGGGGGGAAAAACCTTCAAAATAGTGTACAGCTACTATGTCAACCACTTATCAAATAGTCAGAAAAATTACTCCACCCTCAAAAACTTTCCTTTCCAGCACATCAAAACGATATATTGGGTAGCACCAGTCGCTCGATGCAGTAACATCTGCTGCCATCACATATAAGATAAGGGCGATGGTTTGAAATCACAAAAAACCCTCGGATATGGGTCATTTCATTGGAACAGTAGAAAATAATTTACAGTCTAAAATTGATATGTTAATCAGAAGCAGCAATTAAGAAAATGGCATTTCAACATCTACTCTGGTTGCTTTTTTGGTCTTGGTTTCATTATATTTGCAGGGGTTGATATAAAACTTTCCCGCCAATTTAAGGTGGCTATCAATTTTCTATAGAAGAAATTAAGAATCAAAACATTCCATATAGACTAATTTACAAGCACAACAGTGCATGCTAGAGAGAGAAAAA